ACGAAGACTTAATTACGTGCAGTCCTGCAAACCGAATGCTTGTCCTTACCAGGCTGACGGTGATGCATCAGGTGACGACGGCTGCGATCACGAGGGTCGGGATCTCGACGGTGATGATGATGATGATGATGATGATGATGATGGGTGCTGGTGGTTATGATGATGGGGAGGAGGACCCATGGCCGTCGATGTAAAGGCTGAGGCTTGTTGGTTTTGGTGACAGCTGCAAATTTGAAGTGGGGTTTTCTACGCTTGTTGCTCTCGAGGCGAATCGAGTTTGGAGGGAAAGGTTTCGGGGGTTGGGGTCTAGGTAGGTTTGGGTTCTTACTGCAGCCGCCCAGCCGAGCCAGAAAAAGCTGGCACCTTGAAGGTAAGCCTTAGACCTAAGACCTGCATTCCTAAGCTCCTGCAGGAGCCTGATCCGTAAGTTCGAAGCCCAAACTCCCAAATCCGCTGAATCATGAATCCTGAACTGCCTGACCTTCAGACAAACATGACTCTACAGCACCACAGGGCCACATGTCTCGACTTTGACTTCATGGGCCGCGGGCATCCCCAGTGATCAGGAAGTCATCAACCAACCACCTGCTGGAGGCTCAGACTTTAGAATAGGGTTTTGGGCCAGTTATACTATAATCATAATAAGGAACCCTAACAATGATATTGGTAATTATTTAAGCCCCTATATTAGCGTGGTGGGCTCCTTTGTTCGCGCTTTCGGCTCTCCGGTGCTAGGCTCCCTCTTTCCAAAGACACTCTCTCGTACTTTTGATCCTAAGAGAAATCTCGCGATGACGGCCTTCACTGAGGCCCTAGAGCGTTTCCACCTTTCCGGGCATGGGCTTGAGAAAAGTCAGGACCCTCAAACTCTAAACTCGAGACCCTGAACACAATAAAGTATGCCCAACAAAGCGAAACGCCGTAGCCCTAAGCCCCTGGGTCCCCCAAGAAAGCCTCGAAGCCCGCAAAAACAAAAAAAGAAACTTACCGTGCTCCTCACCACCCAAAAAATTCCGCTCCAAACGCGTCCAACTCTGCTCTCCTTTGAAACATCCCAGCGGCTGATGTCCGCTGCTCTCCTCCGAGGACTCGCCCTCAAAGGCCCAATCCCAGACCTCGCAGCAAAAGTGATGGGGTTCCTCCCAAACTTCGGGTTTCAGGGTAAGTTCTTCAAACTGCTGATCCTACGATTTCGTGTCTATACTCGAAGCACGTAGTTTCGGGGAAGGCTTAGGTCGTAGGCTTCAGCCTTCAGGATGTCAGGACTAGTAGACCTTAGGGGCCGAAGGCTTGGTCCTGGCGAAGCAGGCTTTCCACTTTGAGATTTATAGTTCTGGGTTTAGGGTGCAGGGGCCCCGCACTGACCGCAACGGTGGAGAGCAGCAGCATCAGCAGCAGCGTCGCAATGTCATGAGCACGAGTAACAGCAACAACCACAGCAAAAACGTCAACCATGTCATCATCAAGGTTGTCATCATCACCATCCATCGCCATCAAAAGCATGGTTCAAGTTCTAACAATCACAATTGAATCCTCGCAGCAGCTGCCCTGCCTCCGAAGCCACAAACTCTCACAAACACCCCGCTATCTCATGAGATGAAACCTGCGGGATCAGTCCAGGCACCCTCGAAGCCAAATTTCGAAAGTCGATCTCACCTTGCCCTCCTCAAACAGTTGACATCAGCAGGCAGAAAAAGATCCAGGAAGCCTTCCTAAACCCTCAACTCTGACCTGATCTGAAGATGAGCCCACTCCCTTCATTTCTTCCTGGTAGCCCTGCGCCCGCATGCGCGCGCGCCTCTTCTGTAGCTTCGAGGCCCTGCCGTTAAAATGTAGTGGTGTAAGCATTGGGGCTGCGGCTACACTTACACTTACACACACACACACTGAACCAGGCATCTGGGCAGGTATGGGATCACTATGCGCGCCTCATCTTCATCTGTGGTGGCTCCGGTGCCAGCTCGGTGCTGTCTGAAATCTTGCACCTTTGCATGAAATCTGTGGCTGGACTGCCTCGAGTTCTGGGGTTTTGGATCTTAGGGTTTACGTAGGAGTTTACGGTTTGAGCAACTGTTACCCCTATACTGCGCGCCCGCAAGTCCTAAAGCTGCAAGCCCGACACACCCGACCTCACGATGCAAAATCCTGAACCAAGCGCAGCCCCGCCGGCCTGGGCCCAGCCATCCTGGAAGACAGGCTCTTGGCAGCTTCTGAAGGGTCGTTCTGACTGGGTTTGGGATGCAGGTTAGGATGTCGATGGAGAGCCGGAGCTAAAGAACTAAGAGCAGCGCTGTGCACCACCCCGAAGGCTGCAGAATAACGCTGGCAATCGAAGCAAAGGATCCTCATTGTCCATGAGCTTGATCTTCGAGACCATCACCATGGCCTCTGGCGTGGCGGCCGCCGCGGGGGACCTTGGCTTGAGGGCTTTTTGGGGGAGCTTATGGGCATTCGGTGCCGTAGCCTTGCAGAGGGTTGCCGAGTCAGGGGAGGCCTTTCGATTTCCTTTTCCGCTTGAGGGCCCCATGCGTACGACAGTTCAATCCTCGCTACCGGGGCCATTCTCTGGACGGCTCCAGAGTCCGAGTTTCGAGCCCAGAAACGAACCTCTCTCAATGTTGGGATCACGTGCACACAACGTTCAAAGCACTCTGACAAACGGGTGCGGCCAGTGAGGCGTGAGTAGAAATTGCCGCAGCTGCAGCAGCAACAGCAGCAAGAACGATGCTCAGCTGAAACATTCGCGATAGGGACCAAATGGCAGGAGTGCTGTCATAATTCAAGAAAGAAGAAATCTTTCATAGTGCCGTGGCTTCGGGTTGTGGCTTTCAGGTTGGTAGTGCGGTGCATGATCGGACTGAGCGCTTCAGGGGGGCGACGCAAAAATAGATGGAGGTACAGACGAATAGCACACAACGGGCGGCGACAGGAACGAAGAAGAACACAAAGACGACAGCCACCACGACTCGGTAGCACCAACAACGACAACAACCACCAACCACAACAACAGAATCAATGCCAACAGCAGCAGCAGCACCAAATACGCATCAGCAACAGGAAGACCAAAACCCTAAACCCTGAAACCCTAAAAGAACAGAGAACCTTCACGCTCCTCTCAGTCTGATGCCGCAGTGAAACTTCTTGACGCATTCCGTGCTGAGTCCGGCACGGGCGTCCCCGGAAGCGACTAAATACCATGCTGCTCCTGAGCTTTCAATTACAATAATAACAATAACAATAATGATTATTTTATTGTAGTATCTATTTAAATTATCGTGTTTATAGTAATCATAAATTTAGCAGTTATAGTAAGCGTAAACATAGTACTTATAGTAATAGAGCATAATACTTGGGATCCTGAGTGCCTGGAACAAGCTACGGCCGGGAGACACTGTGAAAGCAACAATCAACAACCGTCGTAGGCATAAACCCCAAACCATAAACCCGAACCCCACTTACTCCAGTCGGCAGTTTAGGGCTAGAGGGCCCCGAGGCCGTGGCTTAAGGTGCCGGTCCTATGGGAAGTATTGAGGCTACGATAAGGGGTAAACTGGGTGTTACTACAAGGCAGCATAACAAAAGGTTACTGTGAGCGTCACGAGAAACTCGCGAGGTCTAAATCTCAAAGCGTCGAAACAACAGAAGTGCGTGAGAACTGCGAGCCCAACGAAGCTGCCATCGAGCCACCTTTGGTTGGCCGCAGTGATTTTCGGCCGGAACAACTCGTGGACCCCATGCACAGCTTGAGCCCGAATGGAAACGCACAAGTCTTGGGGCTTCGGGCGTCGAAGTGTTTCGGCGCTAGACCTGGAACCCGAAACAGAATCAATCAGATCCTGGCCCTGAGCCCTTGTTCCCTGCACAAGCTCTGGCAGTGCTGTAAATATGCAACATCAGATTTGGATTGGGTCTCGAACCGCATTTGGGGCTTCTAGGACTTTGGGCTCGAGAAAGCTGCGGGGTCTCGAAAGGAAGGTTCGTGGCTTTGGTCTCCGAGTTTGCTCTTTTGCTCCCGCAATCGCCGCCATCCTTGCCGCGGGTGAGAATGCTGACTCCTCACGCACTGCGACCTACAACCCCTCCAAAACAATGCGCTCCGAAATACCATTTGTCACTCTTCAGGCTGCCGCATTAGGACCAAATCTCTCTCTAACTTGAAGACTTACCTTAACCCGGAATAATCTACCTTTTTAAGGACCTATATAAGGAAACCATAATAAGGAACCCTAAAAAGGTAGGTTATTCAGGGTTAAGGGTAGGGCCGAAGAGGAGAGCAGGGCATGGCCTTCGTCTTTGCCCCTACACGCCCGAAGGTTGAAGCCTCGTTCAGGCGCTGAGAGGTTTGGGGCCTACGGCGTCTGCGGTTGGATTGGGAATTGGGGATTCGGTTCAGGGCAAATAGAAGTTTTAAGTTCTAAGGAACGTCAAAAGTAGGAGAGCAGTAGCAAGAATGAATAACCAGCAAAGCGCCGTCAAACAGCAGGCATAGAACCACCTTCCTTGAAACGCCGGAATTTATCCTAAGTCCTAAAACCGCCCACTTCGCTGACCCAAGGCTGCTTTGCAGCGCGAGCATCCTGCGAGCGGTGGTGAGAACCGCTACGAAAGGGCCGAAAACCATCTCCTCCTTGGTTTCTTTTCCCTTGGGTTTCTGCTTGCGCGTGATGTTGCGTTGGGGATATCGGCCGTGGGGACATGGTCCATGCGGCCCCTCCGATTCTACTGAGCACTGCTCCTATGCCCAAACTTGGAAAGGAGCAACAATGACGAAGGCCGAAAACCGTCGAGCAGAGGCAACAAGTTTTGCATGCTAGTACCTGCAAGTCTTCATCTGCCTTGTGGTGCCACAAACGGGGGCACTTAATGCACGAATCTTTGTCCATGCCAGGCACCTAAGCATTTGGGATCCACGGGCTTAGAGGGCTCGTCGCTCCCTAAACCCCTCAAGGTTCAGAGCCCTCTAAGCCCACGGAGCCCGTAGAGTCCGTTTCGGACATCGTTCACTCCTTTGAGCGACCCACTTTGGGTGCGCTTCGTGAGCCAACGGAAACATTGCGATCGTCCAGGAAATCCACCTCGGGCACACCGGGATTTACCGCTTTGTGGCGCTGGTTCGGGGTTTGGAGTTGAAGCTCCTCGAAGAATTGGCTGCTTTGTTTGGAGTTGGTATTGCGGGCTTCTTCGGGTCCTTATTAAGCTCCGCGCAGGGGCTGGACACCGCAAGTTTCACTCACCAGTCACCCTAAAGGCATCACCCCTCGAGTTGCTCGGTCGAGTGTTAGGTGTAAGCTGAGGGCTTAAAAGTGTAGCCTGAACTCCAAACCCTCAAGCCGTGCTGTAACTGCACAAGCAAAGACCCTCGAGTAATCTTTGGTTGAAGCTTTCTGAATCCTGCAAAGGAAAATCGCCCCGGTCAAGCACTTCCTAAATGAACGAAGCAGAGAAGGCCACACGAGCCCCGAACCTGACACTTCTCAGGAAAGGGATTCGACAACCCAAACGCCTGTAGCCTCGAACAACCAGCTGCATGCCTCGATCTTAAACCCCAAAACCTATGAATCCTGCACACAAACAAACCTTCGACTTCAGGATCCCAAAATGCCAAACCCTACCAGTAATCCCCAAAACCTCAAGTTTCCTTAAACCTTTCCGCTGCTGAGGCTTGAAGCCTCTGAGCCAGCCGAAACAAGCTGAAGCCAAAACCCCAAACAAATCCAAAACCCTAAACCCCAAAAACCCTAAACCACTAGCCCGAAACCGCTAAACCCCTAAACCCTAAACCCCAAACCCTAAACCGCTGAAGCAAGCCGAAGCCAAGGTGCCCATACGCCCCCAGACATGAGCTCCTGGAGTTCCTCAGCAATGTCCCCTTCGCTGTAGCCGTTGTCGCGCACCTCTCTTCTCCATTCGGGGTCAGGCTTAAGGCTTTTGGGGGTTGATTCATAGTAGCCCTTATAGAACCCTTTATGACACCCTCATAACAGGGCTTGCTTCATAGTAGCCCTTCTAGAACCCTTCATGGTAGCCTCATAGCAATCCTGAACTCTTCAAGTCTTGAAGTCACCTTCCTAGGCAGGAGTTGGGGGTGTTCGGAGCTTCGCCTCCAGGCTGCCCGGTTAGGGTTCAGAACGCCGTCTAGGTTGCCTAAGGCCGAGAGCGTGAGGGCTTTGCAAGCAGGGATGTTGAAGAGCATTTGTGAAAGAAGCGACGCAATCCTCAACATCCCATGCCAGTGTCAGGCATTTTGGTGCTCAGCTTGATATTTGGACATAGCAGGTGTCAGCGACGTCTGGGCAAAAGGCACAGGGTGTTGAGACACGCTACTACGAGAGCTTAAGCTTCAAGCTTTTCCGACCGAACGCTGAAATCTTGCACACTCACCCTCTGGCCAGTTGCAGGCATCTGACTCGTGGTGAGATCTGTCAATCCAGAGCCGACACACCGGCCTACTCAAGAGAACAAAGTCCGAGTCCAGTTTCTACATTCTTGAAGCCACCGACCTGGCAAGATCCTAACCGACAATCTCCCCCAACCTGCTGCCAGAAATAACGCCACTCCGACGGCAGGATCTCCCCGTCGTTGTTTTCATCCACCTCCAGGCTGGGGGCGCTTTGAAGGCTTCAACGGAAAAATCTTCAACCCTGACCATCCTTCCTCCCATTTCCTCCCTGAATCGCCCCTTACAAGGCCGCGCAGCCTCCGAGAACATGGCAGACGCACTGATTTTGCCTTGGTGGCTCAGAGACTGGCTACCAAGTATCACACGTCCGCAAGCAACGGGGAACAACCGTAATATGGGGCCTCGATAGCTATTAGAATAGGGCATGGAGCCTCAGTTTTCTTTATGCCGTAGTTTTAGTGACGAACTATTGGGGGGGTTCATACGATGGTAATTGCTCCGAACCCCCCGCATATAGTACATGGCCTCTGTGCTGCCGAGACTGTGAAACACTCGCGGAAGCCGGCGGCCTCTGCGCACCGAACCCTTAAAACCCTGCTTGTCCGCCTCACAAAGGAACACAGAAGCCACGATCTCACACTTTTACCCTCAAGGCCTAGATCCCGAAACCCTGAACGTTGCAGATGCCCTAAACCCCAAAACCCGAAAGCCCAAACCCGGCAGTCCCTAGAAACCTGAATATGTAGGGGCCTCAATCACCAGAATAGGGTTTTGGGGCCCGTGATACTATACTTATAGTAAGGAACCCCTCAAACATAGTGTTGGCAATCCTTAAGGTCCCTAAACCCTAAACCCTAAGCCCTAAACCCTAAGCCCTAAGCCCTAAACCCTAAACCCCCCACATTAAAACCCCGTGCCAGGCGACCGAATCGGCTGAAGAAGTTCTGGGCCTCCGCCTTGGTGAGGCGCCTTAGAGTCGACGACGGCACTTGGGTTGGGCTCGAAGCGACTTGGGGGGCTTTTGGGGGGGGTTTGGGGGTTTAGGGGTTTGGGGTTTAGGGGTTTAGGGTTGAGTCTAGGGGTTTAGGGATTAGGGGGTTAGGGTTGAGTTTAGGGGTTTAGGGTTGAGTTTAGGGGTTTAGGGTTTGGGGGAAGCTCAGTGAAGACAGAACTTCATATTCTCAAGTTTCGTTTGGGCCGAACTCTGCTGGGACCATGGAACTCCTGGAAAAACATTCGAGAGGGCTGACAGTGGAATCTGGCCATAGCATCAGGAGTTTCCGAGGGTTTCCTCAAGCTGTCGTTTAGGGCTCGGCTTAGGCGTTGCGTTCGGCACTGAGTCGCCATAGCCACCATTGTGCCGATGCTGTCGGCAGCTCGCGCATGGGTTCTGTCAGTTTGCTCGTGTAGAGGTTCCAGGAAGATGCGTTGGATGCTTGGGAGAAGACGTTGGAGTGGTGGGGTTCGTGTTCGCTCGCTCGTTCGCTTATGCAGTCTTCCTTAATCTTTTGTTTCACGTATTGCTTTCTGTGTTGGGGACAAATCTGTTGTGAGAAGCTGTCCAACTCTGCTTTTTCCTGATTGGAAGCAGGTCTGTGTTCGTGTGCCGAGAATGCGATGCAATGGAATAAGACGTGTTGTGTAGCTGTCTGTGTCCGAACCACAACCCCAACAACACCAACACCGCCACCACCAGCAACAGCAACAACAGCAACAGCAACAGCAGCAGCAGCAGCGCCAGCACCAGCACCAGCACCAGCAACAGGTCCGAACTCGCTCTCAACATCCTCCTCCCAGATTCCCTCTCCCCCTATCCTCTCAAATTTCTCTCCTCTCAACCTCTCAAATTTCTCTCCTCTCAAATTCCATCTCCCCATATCCTCTCAAATTTCTCTCCTCTCAAACTCCCTCTCACCATATCCTCTCAATTTTCTTTCCTCTCAAATTCCCTCTCCCCCTATCCTCTCAAATTTCTCTCCTTTCAAATATCCTCTCAAATATCCTCTCAAGTATTTTCTCAAATCTCCCAACCATTGATTCTCAAATGGTTCTCAAATTATTCTCAAAAATAATTCTCTTGCTTGCCCTCAGTCTGTACCAGAAAGGAAGGTCACAATGCTATGCCCTGAGCCAGTGGCCCATCCGCATTCTCGTCCATCTTTTGGTAGAGGGCCTCCACTTTTCGGAGAATCCTCGGAGAAGTCTGAGCTGAGGTTGAAAATTCAAGGTGTGCGCTGCCCACAATTGCACATAGCCAGGTCTCTGAAGAGGGCTTGGGCTCTCGAACTAAGTACTTTAGTGGCTCAGGAGCGTCCGAGGTTTACTGATAAAACAGGGCTCTGAATAACGGGTTTATGGAATCCCTTACAATCCCACTTTCATTTACGCCGAAACCCTGTACTTACAGTTCATGAGGCCCTATCAGATTCCCAAAAACACACATAAAACCCTATCAGCAAAACACTACAAGCACCTATCACATCCTTTAACACCCCTACAAAACCCAAATGAACCCTGAAAAAGACCCTACACCACCCCATAATTGTTCAGCACGCTTGCTGGGGCGCCGGCCACGGGGAGAGGTTGCAATCCTGACGCAGAGGAAGGGCTTGAAGACTTAGAAAGTAGAAAAGGGTTCAGGGTTTCGGGTTTAAGCATTATCGGACTTGGGGCTTTGGGGCTTTCTGGGATAGTGTAGCTTAAGTAAAAAATGGGCCTGATTTACTTAGGTAGATGTTGATAGGTTTTAGGGTTTATAATAAGAATCTAGTGTAGTGCTTCATGCTTACAAGTTATAAGGCTTCGGAGCTTACTATACTATGAATTGAAGGGCGGCAAAGGGGAGAGCATAACTGTTCTTGAACTCCCAAGACGCAACTTTGCAAAGCTCTAGGACTTTATAGGTTTCAGGGCAAGGAGGGGTCGAGGACTGAGGGTTCTTCTTTGCAATGACCGCGGCACACGTCTCGTTCCATCCCCGAAACTGCGGGGAGGGGGGAAGTAAGTCATACCGCCAGGAAGCAGGAAGAAGTTATACTTAATACTGCTAAGACTAATTGTTCAGCCCCGTATAACTAAATGATCGCAGGCTTGATTCGAAACGGAATCTTCGAAGTATGTCACTCATCCTGAATGACAAAATCGGCTATGGTCGGATTTTGGCTGGAGGCTACACCGCTTCGGTCTTCTTGGTCAGCCATCAGCAGCATTTAAGCACTTGGTGAACACCTGCAGCTGAACTGCCATGTCCCTTCAGCACCGCGCACATCCGAGTCAGCAAAACCCAAGACATCACGAGCGAAGACCGTACATGCCTGAAGAGTTCCCTGAACAAGAAACCCGAATCCCTAGACCCGGCACCACGAATCACAAAGGCCGAGCCCCGCCGCTGAACTAGCTTTTCTGCCACTGCTGTCATTGCTGGTGCTGCTGCTACTAGTACTACGACCACAACTGCTATTACACAGAAGACGACTACAACGACTGCTGCAACAACTCCGACGACATATTCAATCCTGACTGCTTCTTTCAACCCTTCTCGAAGTTTCTGAATGCCAACCTGCACCCCGAAGCTGGCACTGGCATGTCCGAAAACATGGAACCCCGAAACTCCTCAAGCTCCCAATCCCTCAATGCCAAACCACACAGAGCTTCGGGATTCTACAGATTAGGCTCTAGGACTCTTACCACGAGTGCCACAACGTAAACGCACTTCGACACCCAAAAACACAAAGCTTTCAACTTCGATAAACCCTAAGCCCTGAATCCCTTAAACTCACGTACAGGAACCATTACAGGAACCCTTGAAGAGCCCTTGCGAGCCTTAGGCTCGATTCGCCCCGCCTCAGGCCTCTGGTTGAGACGGCTCGGGATCCAGCGCTCCGGGTTCAAGGCTTGCAGGTCCGTTGTGGGCTCTTCTGTCCGGGGTCTTGCTAGGTCTAGAGTCCGGAGTTTCAGATTGGACGCTAGGGTGAAGGATCGGGGTGAAGTTGTGGGCTGTGGGCTTTTGTCATTCGGGGCTTCTGTCTGTTACCTTAGACTATTGCAGCGACTTGCTGACATGTCCTTACGCAGCCTTTTCTGTTTTTTGATGCGGCTGCTGTTATAGTCGCTGAGACGGTTTCGACGACAACCACGACCGCGACATCTCACCCCGCAGGTTATGTTCAGGTGGTTGCCAGGTTCCTGACATACAGGCACAGTGGTAAGGCTGGTTTGTGAGTGAGCTTTCTACCTCCTGCTGTTGGCAATGTTGGCTCTGTTACGACGTCGACGTTGCTCCGATTGTGGGCACTGGCACACTCTCTGTCACTGTATATTGCCTGCATCCTTCCTGGAAGATACAAAAGAATCACGAATCTGAGGGGCCAGCGGCATGTACCCGTGGCGGCTATTCCCGCTCAAGCTCCTGGCGCTATGCGTAGGCGCAATCCCGCATGCTTGCCGGCGTCCGCTAAACCCCCCAACGGAGTGGAGGTGGCAAGTCGATAATGATCCGGAATCCATGCGGGTTGGGTTCGACTGATCAGATAAGCAATCGTCTTGCTGGTGGAGTTTCGGGCATCCACTCTGACGTTGCTCTGCTCTGCGAGTAGACGACAATTAGCTGAAACTCTCGTTCGTTTTCACATGTTTCGGAACACCGAAAAAACTTGACCCACAGGTGTGCGAGCCAGAAACAGCGTAGATTGCGGTTACTACTATTTCTGCCTTTTTAGCGGCTTATGACTTCTTGTATGACTGTCGTTGCAGTAATGGTTGTCCTCATGATGATGCTGCTGATGATGATGATGTTGAGGAGGATGAGGTGAAAATGAGGACTCGGTGACGACCGTAATGATGGAGACGAAAATTACTACGGCGATTGCTCCTTCTCCTCCCCCTCCACATCATCATCGTTAGCATCATCACCATCACCGTCCTAGTCACCACCACCCCCCATCATCGTCATCGTCATCATCACGGCCATGGGCAACATGCCAACCAACTGCCGCCACCAGCATCACGAGTATTGTTGCATAATCGCGTACTTAGTCACGACCTAGGCTCAGCAGCCTTAAGCCTTAACTGGGCCAACAGAATCCTAAGCCTAAGCCCTGAACGCCGCACATTGGGGCAAGCGGCTCACGACGCTGATCTGAGAGCTCTGCGACCTGGCATAGGCTGGACTCTAGCAGGCTGCTTCGGTGCTCTCGTTCTTTGGGGCTTTCAGTGTATGCAGCATCTTCTCCGAAGGGCGAACCTCGGGTGCGAGGGGGCTTACAGTAGGGCCTCGGGGATTCATCTTTCGTGCGGCAGCTTAACGGCTCAAATCCAATGCCCTTGCGTGGTCAGCTCCGTCACTGGTCCCTGTATGTAGATTTAGCACGCAGGTCCTCCACCAGCAAATACACACTCTTTCCATGCGAGTCGAAACCAGATTCCGAGCCCAGGCCCTTCAAATCCCGACAACCTAAACCTGAATCCCCCGTTTCCATATAAAAAAAAGCAGTGCCCCCTGCATGTGTCAACGCGCCTGAAACTCTGAAAAACAAGCCGGGAAAGCCGGTGTTCCCATTCGGATAGACCCATTGCCATCCTGCGGGTGCTGTAGGAGTTATGCGAACGTTAAAGGGCTCCTTGAAGGGATCGCAAAGCAACTAGTCGGGTGCGACAAGGGATGTTGGGTGTAGATTTTGGGTGTCTTGGTGTCGGCAGGCAAGGACTGACCGGGCGGTGTCTGACTCCAGCTGAGGGTTTAAAGGGGTTAAGGACAAGGAATGAGCGCCTTAGGGCCTTAGGGATTGGGGTTTCAGGCAGATACATTACATCCGACGCGGCACCTGATGAACGGTCCAGTGCTTCTGGCTTTGGATTCAGAGTTCAGGAATCCAGTGCCTTGGCTGTACGGTTCTGCGCTTGGGATGCAGAGGCCCAAGGTGTTGGAGACCGGAAGCATCACATGGGAGTTTCCGAAAATAGGGGGCCCTGATATAGTACCCTAAATGGTAGGATCCTTACTACAAGTCTAAGGACCCCAACATAAGGTACCGTATTTTCGGAAACTCCTACATAAGACCAGAGCCCTCAATACTAGGATCCTTATTATAAAGAACCCAAAACGCAAATTCCTGCGTAAGACCAGAGCCAGAAAGCTGTCCTGACTGCTGCCGTTGAAGCGCAGCGACTTCAGGCTGGCCCTTGATTTTCACTTTCAAGGAAACACCACGTCACCACATGGGAGTTTCCAAAAATTAGGGGGGTACCTTATTGTGGCGCCCTTATAATGGGGAAGAGACTCCAATATGCCTTAATTAATTAAGGAATATTCCTTAAATCATATTAGGGATCCTACAATAATTTACGATGTATTACTTGATCAAGGGATATTGGAGCCTCTGGCTTCCAAGCTCACCACGTCACCACATCCATGCGTACTTCGGAAGAGTTATGGGCCATATGCGGTTGGGTTTTAGGCTTCCGCTTTTGCAGTATCGTCGCGAAGTGTAGGAAGCGGCTAACATCGCCTGACCGCAGAACCGGCTGTAACTGAGGTCTTTAAACTTAAACTCACGACCTTGCACTCTGGGTCTCCCTGCGCGCTTGTCGATCGCTTCCGAAAGCTACCTCCGGCAGAAAAACACAGGATATCTTGCTCGAAAAGGATCTTCAAGATGCGTAGACACCAAACCGACATTCAAAACCCAAGACGCAAACCTCGCAGGTTCAGTGCCAGATTTCTCTTCAGCGGTTTGTGAGCCCCAAACCTCATTTCGTAGCTTGCAAGCAGCAGACTTCCACGAAGTCTTTTTACCTTGAAATCCGCCCCTCTGGTTTAGGGTAGAGGGTTTAGGGGTTTAGGGTTTAGGGTCCCCCTCCAGGCCTGAGCTGTGAAAGAACTTCCCCTGGCCAGCCCTTGGGCGATGCGAAGTCTTCGGAGCAGTGATTTGGGCTCAGACTAAAGGGGGGGCGAGGGTTGTGGCATCGGGTTTCACTTGGCGAAGCCCCTGCAGTCATGCTGGGAAACGAAAGGGGGAATGGCACGGTGACGATTTCCAAACATGCGAATGTTTAATGATAGATGAAGAAATATGTATACTACCTCCGTGGCCGTGGAGCCCGGGCCGCCAAGTGTTTACAATGGTGAACCTGCGGAAAACATGCGCAACATTTTGAACATATCTGGCAATCAATACGGGGTCGTGCATCTTCCAGCCGGAGCTTGGGTTCTGATGGGGAGGCAGGCCATCCTAGATTTTGCTACCGTGAAGGTCTAATCTACGAGACCCTCCCGTCGGAATAGATACTGCAAGCAAAGCCCTAGCTTGGCACCAGCTTGGAAGATCCAGCTTTTCTGGAGCTTCTCTATTGGGGATTTCGGCTTGCTTCGTTCATGCCGAGGATCGCTGTGAGGTAGCTGCGGTCGCCGACTGCCGGAAAGTCGCTCATCGCACTCCTGTGGGTAGTTTGCACTTCAGGCGAAGTGCGGCTTGACACTATCCATTCGAAAAAGAAAGACCACGAGCAGCGCTGCCAGATGCTGCCAGAACTATGGTTACTTGTAGCATCCTTACATTGGACCGCGTTTGACTGTGAGCATCAGCTCGAAAACAAAACCTCGCGACATGGTGCCGGAACATCCCAAAGTCCGAACTGAACTCCTGGCCCTCGACAAGCCCGGCTCAGGCCTAACGTTTGAGTCTTTGGGTTGAGGGTGTGCGGTATTTAGTGCCCAGCAGATGTGTGATAGCAGGCCTGCCCATGACGTTGGCGCTCCTGCCGCGAGTGGCATTTCCAGCCGGGGTTTGGTTGCTGCTGGCACGTGACGCAAACTCTGTCAGTACTGTCGTAAACATCAATGTAGGTCTGATAAACGAGCTGAAGAATCGAGTCTTGTGGGATTGTGTTTCGAATGTTAACATCAAGCAACCTCATCTGAAGCGCAAGATGCGCCGTGAAGTGACAACGGCCCATGACAACATCGGGCGGGCGGACATGAGCCGCAACGAAATATTCGTCGTCTTGTGCAAGACCTGGGCCAGCAATGAAGTGCTCGTCAAGCAAAACCGGAGCCCACGGATGTAGATGGACCCTATCGGCTAGATTCATCTACGGCTCCACCAAATTCGACAAAAGAAAGAAACGAGCATCTGCCGATCGAATTGAATGCCTAGCCGCCGGCAAACCTGTCCATCGGCCTATCTAGCTGTGCCACCAAACTGCTCAAGCATGAATATACCTGTTATATGGCCGGTTGCCCCAGCTTTCATAAAAGCGCTAGATCTATGCTCACCGCGCGTCGGGCTACTTTTACCAGCCTCTAAGGAGACTAAGGGAATAAATGGGGGAGCATGTGTGCACGTTCATTCGGTGTATATATATATATATGCACATACTTGGATCCCTAATATAGGGCGGCACCTAATATTTAGGGTACCCAAAAAGGAACCCTAATTGTTTACAACCACCCATTTGTGTATGTATACGTGTATTTATGTGACAATATGTGCTGGTGTGTGCTTTGTGTACATACCTACATGCACACACACAGACACTCTCTCTCTCTCTCTCTCTCTCTCTCTCTCTCTCTCTCTCTCTCTCACTCTCTTGTATTATGTGCACACATGTACATGTATGTCATGTGTTTATGTGTGCATGTATGTGGCGTGAATGCAACTGCCTGCGCATCCATCCTGGTGTGTGAGAATATGAACATGTGTGCGTATGCAGTTGCTCATGTATGCTGCCCAAGCCACTAGGCAACGGAGCCTGGAAACACTACATGATACTGCAAAGGCCGCGGCAATGTCATTGAAGCTTTCCCGCTTTAGGCTGGTCTCCGATGGCACCCAACCTTCAGCAAGAAGTAAGAGCTCAGGAAAAATCAGAACAGCAACACTAGTAGCAGTAACATGAGCAACAGCAGGACAAACCAGCTAAGATTAGCGTCTGGGCTTGGGGTTGAAGGTTTAGGTTCCAACAAGAAGCGCAGAAAGCGGCATGCTCAGGCTTGGGCAGGTGGTCGTCCGAGGCTGCATCGTGGAGGGAGGCGGAGCTCATGGACCCCGGGCGTCCCCCAACCGGCTGCGGAGGTGCTCCCACTTATATCCCTTGAAATTAAAGTCCTAAGCCGAGTTCCGATGCTCGAAGCCGACGGCGCCGACCTTTTTCGACGCTGCAGGAGGTCCAGGCCAGCGGGTGTCCCAAACAGGGGTTTGTAGGGTTTGGGGCTGAGGCTTCTTTACTTGCGATGCCCTCACCGCTTACTGCGAGATCTTCCTACCACCCTCTCATACGTAATAACTGTTATCAATTCTCTGTGTTATTTCTCAAGGGTTAGTCGGACTCGTCGCCCTCACTCAAGCCGCCCAGCTGCGCAGCCTTGGGGATGGGTTGGATCAGCGAAGCGTCGGGGGTCTCGAAGTCTGTCAGGGCTCAGAGTTGGCTTGGGCCTGCGTCAGGACTTCAGAGCTGCAGGGTTCAAGGATCGGTGGCTCGGGGCTTCGCGATGGTGCGTATAATATATCATGGAAAGTTCGGAGCTGGGAGCTTGGCTCCCAAAAGGCTTACCTGTTGAGCTCCCGGCGCCGGGCCGTAGATTTCTTTGACTGTCGCCGGGGCCACCCGAGGCGAGTCCGGAACCTTAAAGCCAAGGCTGGGAGCTGAAGAGCCTAAGCCTTAGAGGAGGTGTGTTAAGGTCTTAGGTCTTAGGGTTCGGATACTGAGTTACTGAGGTTTCTGGCTTCATGGAAGTTCTGGAATGAGACCAGCAGGGCTGTGGCGTACACAACTCGACCATGAGTCAAGGAACGAAGCTGGAAATTCTTGAAGCCACTGGAATGAGGACTTTATAGTGCACAGCCCCGGCATTCACGGTCGGAGAAGAGGCCCACGGGCCCCGTAAACAGAAGGACTCAGGTTGAGCTTTTTACTGACACTTTTGCCAAGACTAAAACCCAAAAATCAATACAACGGTTTAGGGCCCAGGGTACCCCAAAACCCCAAACGGGCTCCTTTTCGACTCTGTCAGCCAGTCGAGCACAAGGCTCGAGCGAAAACTGGCATCTGTCGCCTTGCAAGATTTGAAAAGACACGCTGAAAGGTTGGGGCCGCCAATCCGGCAGTACGACAAAACAAGTTGAGCTGAGGAAAACGAAACTTGCTGTACACCCAACCTCGAATCAGACCTTCTTCTGGCGGGAGGGATCCCGGCAGAGGTATTTTCGCATGGTATCCTTGATGTCGTCGTCCTCGGGCTGCCATCCCAGAAGATCGCGAGCCCTCCTCAGTGCCGCTCAGGATTTAAGGTTTGCGGGCACCACAATCTGGAATACTACCCGTCGTCCACATGAGCCACATAACCTACTGCAAATGAAGAGCCTGCGAAGACACACCCTGAGACGCCTGAAAAGGAATTCGGTATACAGGCAGGAGCAGCTGAAAGCGGCAAAATCGAATTCCAATGCTCTTGCCGGGTATCTTGTTGGAAAAGACGTATGTACGTTGTGTGAAGTTCAGGCTCACACGTGCAAGGTATGGGCTAAGCAGAGCTTTGCCGAAGATGCTGCACCAGGTCTCGTTTATGCCAGCGAGACACGACACGATTTTTGCTGGCACAGGCTCAGCAGGAGCTTGTCCCCAGTAGCTTTTACCATCCTTCTCAACTTCACTGCCAATCATGTGTTTGTATTGAATCCCCTTCCCAGCAGACAAGTTGATGATCGTTGTTTGCGGCCTCTGAAGGGTGCCATCTGCCTTGATTAGCTCATTCACGGCCATGATGTGACCAAGAGCAACGGCATCAACACCCACCATGTCTAGCAGACATTCGCCATTGCCCTTCCCCTGAATCCATTTGTTGTCTTCACCCTTGGAGAGCTTGTCGTAGAGCACCTTGTCACCTTGAGTGCCGAGTACGACTGCTCTTCGGAAGGCGACTAGACGTTGACTTGATGCCTGCTGCACTTGCCTTCGCCCTATGAACTGGCGGTGGTGATGGTAGCCCATCATCAGTAACAGGAGTAGGCGTCGGAGCGGTAGGAGCATTGGAGGAGCAGGAGTAGGAATAGCGGCAGTTGCAGTTGTGGCAGTGGTGGTAGTAGTAGTAGTAGAAGAAGAAGAACGAGGACGAGGAGGAGGAGGAGGAGGAGGAAAAAGACGATTTCCAGGGATTTACTGCAGAGTTTGCGCCGCACTCATAGTGGTGGCAGCAATAGCAGTCCGCGCCAGCAGTTGCCGTCCTTGCAGCTGCAGTGCTGTCGTCGTTCATCAATGCAATGCAATCTTTGCTGCTACTGCTTTGATGGTGCTGCCGCCACAGCTGATCCTTGTTGTGGAAAAGTATACCGTATCGCTGCAAGCCCAACAGCCTAATTTTCCCGCAAACACCCTGAACCTGAGACGAAAGCCCCGAGCCGGGTCACCAGGGCCGATGATTCCCGACGGCCGCACAACCGCGGTAAAGAACCCCGGCGCGTGGGCTGCACTGACGATCTTTTCCGCCGCGACCTTCTACAGAGTTCAGGTTGGAGGGCTTAGGGCTCTTAGCCTTGTGAGCTACAAGGCCTAGGGGTTTTTAGGGCGTTTGAGGCTTCGTTGGTGTTTGGTTTAGAATGGAACCCGACAAGCGCCATGCCCGGAAGGGCTCAAGGATTCGGGGCTCCAGAGGTTTGCTTCGGGCTTCGGGACCTAAGGTTGGGTTTCAGGCTTCCCCCAAGTTCGTTCCTGTTGGACTTGGGCCTGCTGCCAAGCTTGTTTGGAAAGGAAACCATGTGAATGGAGATAGCTGTCAAAAGTCCAACGTCTCACAGCCCGACAAACACTCGACCAGAGCAGTTTGACACATACGTCCGCAAACAACTTATCTACACCTTCTTGCTCTTGAAGCCACTTGGCCTTGGTGGTTGTGTAAGTGTCCATGTTCACAGCCGGATAAGGCACATCCTCGTCGACTCCGTCAGCTGGCGCATCATTCCTAGGCCATGAAAACGAGCTCCAACAGCGGAGAAGGCAAACCCACAATAAAGCCTCTAGGCCCCTAAGCCTCCAAGAAATCATAGGCCAGTCACCCAAGAGAAACGCGCTAAACCGAACAACCTGAAACCCTTCTGAAATTCTTATAAAACCTTCCAAGCCGAGCAAATCCTGTAAAACGAAGAACAAGCCAAAGAAGACTTCTGTAAAGCAACCGAGGTTCGCCCCGTCCAGGATGCAGGTGGCCGACGAAGTGTACAGGAAGCCCTTGGCGCCGTGCTTTCGAGCCATCTGCACGGAATCTTGGAGGCCATCCACCTGAGTAACATGTAGGGTGTTTAAGCAGCACTGGGGGATTTGGGGAGTTTCGGTTTGGGGAGGCCATCCATCTACAGAGCTATTTTGTGGGTTGCTTTAGGGCTTGATGAGACGAAACAGCCTGTCAGGCTTTAAGGCTCTGGGTTTCAGGCTTCGGCGCTCTAGGATTTCGGGGTTCGAGGGCTCGGAGCGGGAATGCGAATTCCTAAGGCTCGGAGACTAAGGTTGTCTTCGGTCTATCGACAGGACACATGCGCACCTGGTGGCCTCAAAAACGGTCTCGAGATCGGCATCGTTATCGCCATCATCGTCATCATCATCATGTCTGCAATGTTCATGCCGGTCGTAATTTACGACTGTACTGCACTGCGCAGCATCATCGCTATTCTTTTGCATGACTCGTCTAATCTTGCTACTACTCTTATGCATGAGTGTCCTTATTAGATGTTGTTCTTACTATTGGTGCGACTACTATTATTCCTACTGTCGCTATTATCAGTATTGTTATGATTAGTAGCCGTTGTCGTCGTAGTAAAAGTAGGAGTAGGAGTGGCACGAGTAGGAGAAGTAGGATGAGTAGTAAAGTAGGAGGAGCAGTCGTCGTGGTCGTAGTAGTGCAGCAGCAGCAGCAGCAGCCGCTTGGAGTAGGAGCAGGAGCACGAGTAGGAGTAACATCACTATGATTGATATCAGAAGCGTCGGGAACCAGCAGCAACGCTTTAGTAGTACTGCTGCTCTTGTCTGAACTTTGAGCTTGCATGCGCCTATTCTCTGATCCTGGTGCTTTGTTGCAAATGAGAGAGAAAATGAGCGAGAGAGAGAGACAGAGAGAGAGAGAGAGAGCAAACGCATGCGTGCTCTTGGATGAATGCGTGGACCTGGGTCAAGATTCAGGGTCCGGAAACCAAAAAAGCCCAGCAGGGACCCCGAGCCGCCCTTGGCTGAACCTCCCAGGCCCTCTACTCCCTGTTCATCTCCCGGCCACGTTTACGCGGGTGATGAAGCTCTCTGGGATGCCCAAGAAGGGAATGATCGATGCCAGGTGGATCGTGCCCTTGATGGGATAGCCGCAGCTCTTCATGGCCTTCCGTTGGCCACAGGCACGCAGAGGGGGCGGCAAGCTCGGAAGAAAGGTTCCGGGGCTCTGAGTGCAGACATGGGGGTGGAAAGGCCCCTGAGAGCTGGGCCTTCGGGTAACAGCACATGGCCTTGATTGTCACCATGTAACATGATTCAGATCTATGACCATATCTGCAGAATCTACAGCCACTGAGAACTCTCACGATGCTCGTTTTCTAAGGCAAGGCTGCGAGCACGCCATTCGGCTCTTGGATTGCGACTTCGAGGGTAGCATGTCAGGCCGTGAGGACTTCAGTCGAGCACGAGGGCGGATTGTCCAAAACATCTGTGGCTGTTTATTTTGGCCGTAATAATGGTTGTTGTTGTTACTATGAGGCTGTTTACTTTGGCCGTAATAATGGCTATATCGTTGCTACTATGAGGCTGTTAAAGGGCTTCCAAGGCCTGGCCTCGTAGATGCTTTCCATATGCTTCGGCTCACGCAGGTCACCGGTGAAGTACACCATGTCCTCTCCTGGGGCTGCCGTGCAAGCTTCGGGCTTTTAGGGGCTCGTGTCCGGGTCCCCTTGGGCTCGAAGTCCCCATTTTGGGCCAAGGCCCGGCACAGGATGCCACGCCCTGAATCTAAAGCCTGCGATCCTGAAGACCTGCAGCCCACTAAGAAGTAAGGGCCCTCAAACAACAGAGTATGCACACTTTGAACTGAGTCCTGGATGAGCTCAATACCCTGAGGCACTTGAAGTCCAAGGCTTAGACCCTAAACCCAAACGCCCTCAAGCCCACTTCCCTAAACTAAACCCGAGACCACATCCATCCACATCCCCTAAAAACCCGGGCCCTAGGCCCAAATCCGAAGTTCACAGCACCAAACCCTAAAAGGCCATAAGCTCCAACTCTAAATTCGAAACCCCGAAACCCCAAAGCCTCCCCATGCCGATCCAAGTGTCGCAAGTGCTTCGGGGCGTTGATGTCCACGCAGACGAGATTCAAGGCTGCCTCGTCGGGGGGGTGCACATTGTTCGGGGGGTTCGGGATGAGGCTGAGGGGTTTAGGGTTTTGATTTTGGGTTTGGTTTAGGATTTTGGGGTTGTAGGGATTGAGCTGCCCGCCGCCTTGTGAGTTGCTGCTGCCTCAACGAGGAGCTCCTGAATGCGGACCCCGACAAAGCCGCTGCTTCCGATCAGGAGAACCTCGTGGCATCACAAAGTTTGGGGTTCAAGGAAGGTCTGAGGTTCAGGTGTTGTGGTGTGTGATGGGACTCGGGGCTTGCAAGTTGAGGGCTTGTGGTGTAACAGTTTGCGCAGGGTTCCAGGCTCCAGGTTTAAACTCCACGGCAGGCTCAGGGCCTAGCTCAGCTGCTTAGCTGCTAGAGACCCGTATACCTTCGACCCTCTTCTAACAATTCCAAGACCCCGGCTCGGTTGGACACCTGCTTTCTCGAAATTGCGTCTTTGCCATTCTTGCCCCTGGAAACCATAAGGTAGCATGCAACAGCCACCTCTGTGGTCATGACACCGGAATCCCGGCACCCGACCATTGGACCGCCAAGGAACAGTTCCTTTCTCCTTCGAAAAATGCTTCTCAACGACAGCGGCGTGGTCATTGAGGGCCTCAAGCCCACGAACATCCATCGACTCCAGCCTTCCCGAGCCTAAAGCCCTCACGATTTCAGGGTTGGGGCGACTGAAGGTGCAGACTCCAAAGGCCCATCTGCGGAGCCTTCATAGCCGAAGCCTTCATCTCGGCATCCGTTTCCCCTCGGGCCGCGCCTTGAACTCGCCCAGGCGGGCCCACTTCGCCGCCACGGCAGCTTGCGATCTCTGGCCCGCGAAGTAAACTGCCGGTGGCACCGTAATCAGGGCCGCCAGGGCAAGCTCCATGACGACAAATCCCCGAACCAAAATACGGAGCTGTTAACTCCGGAATGGAGGCAGCAGGCAGATGTTCTATTTATCTATTGGACTCTGCATTGTGAGCCTGCCGTCTTGGGTTTCAGCATGCAGGATTATGTCTACCACCTGTTGCTCACTCTGCTTTCCCAGTGCTGTCGACTACCCTGCAATCGTTCGATGAATTTTCACTGTTCAGCATGCGTTGGCTAGATGTATCACTCTGAAGCGCAAAGCTTGAAAAGAACAGGGTTGAGCGAGCATCAGCACGATGTCGCGACACTCAACTCGGCGGAAGGGTCGGACACGGCAGAGGGACAGAGTCGTGCACACGAAGCTGGGGCCTGGACTGGGAGGCGCCTGTCTCGCACAGTTTCGGTGGATCCAGAGGGTTTTTGAGGCGGCCGCAGGCATTGAAAGCTTCGCGTCCTACATTGCCCTACCGTACAATTGATAGAAGTACCTGTGAGGAACTGTCTCAAGAGCAAAGCCAAAGATTACCGAGAGGGGGAGCACTCTACCGCTGCAGTTCCACAGTCAAGAGACTCGATGCCCAAACCATCCCCCAAATGCAAGCCTCAAGGTGAACATCAGCCGCATGTGTCAGCCACGCCTTCAAGCCCTCGGAGCTGGGCAATCACGCTTTCACCTGCCGGGATCCCTACTGTGGTAGCACACACGACCTCAAGCCGGAAGCGAACGGGTCGAGTAAGATGTGTGCGGGGCCTTGCCACGAACTCACCCGGCAGGGAGAAACGGACTCTCCACGGCGCTCCAACAGCTTCCCCTTCGGGGGCGCCTGGCAAGAAAGGGTGGTTTGGGGATGGCAGGAAACCTTCGGAGCAAGTTTTGCTTTGGGTGCCGACTCTTGAACTTGCTGGTGGCACGATACCTCACGGCGCAGCATCACAAGACTTCATCCAGTCCGAATTACGAGTACCCTTGATGTTCGTACCAGCTATCAGTTTGTTGCTGGAAGTTTTGCTCCTGGTGTGAGTGACTGCCACCTTATCTTCTGATTCTATGGAGAGGAAGTGAGAAGGAGGGAGGGAGGGAGGGAGGGAGAGAGAGAGAGAGAGAGAGAGAAAAGAGAGAGAGAGAGAGGGGAGAAACAAACACACAAACCCCTTGTCATGCAGGGATCGACAAAGAGAGCACCTGCTTTCAATATCTGTTAGTTCGTTGGACTTGTGCAGTCTGCTCACTCTTCGGTGTCGAAATAGTGTGCGATAGTGTGTGGATCATAAAGCCGAATTGCATGTTGAGTTTGCTGCTTGCAATGAACACGTCAAAATCACGAAACCGACGCAAGCCTTGCTCGCAATCACCATCGAGCAACTCATCCATAAACGTTCTTCCAGCACCACAGCTCTGCATCTAACAACCCAGTCCCAAGATCCCGCTCGAAGCACTACCGTGGCTGAGGGGGAAGCTCGGGGGGCTTGCTGTTGCACGGAATCTGCCTCAGGTAGAGCTAGGGGCGTGCCAAACAATCAGGTGGGAAGGTTACAATACGTGAGCAGTTGTCTACCTCACCGCGACCTTGATGTCCCGGGCGCAAGTCTTTGCCAGACCTGGGCTGCAGGCACTGCAGGCACCCCTTCGCCTGAAAAAAGAGCTTGCACAGATCAAGAACGTGCAAAGTCAGCAGGGCAATCGAGGCAAACGGGCCAACTTCCTTTTGTTGAAGCAGTCGTAGTGTTCGTTGAGCGTTTGGCTGTGTGAAACAGAATTCAGCAGTTGCGGAGCTCCCAAATCTGACGTTGCAAATACCTGTTGGCATGCGTCGAGAAAGCCTTCAGTTGCTGCACTGCTTCGGCATAGCTTCGTCTAGGATCGTCATCAGCTCGCCACAGGAGCTTCAGATCAGAAATCAGTGTTTTCTGGTCCTGGAATGACTCCTCAACTTGGAGGGCCCTGACCAGCAGGGCCACCCACTTCTGACGCTGAGGCTTCGTCAGTGCACGCAGAACGTAAGTAAGGTGCTTTGTGCACTGCATCGCCTGCTCCAAGGCCTCTCTGCTGATTTCGGCGGACTCTGGCAGCAGGTCTTGCATCTGCTCAAGCATGGCTTCAGCAATCAACTGCTTCACGAAAGGCAGGCCACCAAACCCATAGTTGCCAACAAGATTGTGGGCGTGAGTCCTCACAGAAACATCCACGTCGCGGCAGTGCACCAAGAGAGCCCCAAGGTTCGCGCTGACGATGTCGCAGACATCACTTTCTGGGAAATGGGTTTTGTCCGCTGACGCCAGCCTCATGCACCACCAGCGGCCTGGGAAGAAAAGTGCATTTTGTGATTTAACTTGCTTTCCGTGCATCAGGCTTGTCAACGGCCAAGACACACTCGAAGAACTTCCGTTGCCTGCCATCCTCTGCCATTTCACCCTCCAAGGCGTCGGGATCTTCACCGGCGCGCTTCAATTGTGCCGAAAATCTAACGATTGACTCGGACCTGCGCATTGTCACTCATGTGCACGACTCCTCGTGTGTCGCACAGGAGATGCCCACCAAACCCGTGCCTGTCCAATCTGCCCATTTCGGACACGTGCTGTATCAAGACCTCAGGTTGCATGAAAACGCACTTGCGGCTTCTATGCAATGGATTACACTCGGCTCTCTCAAAGGCAACACTGCACAAAGCTCCCTGCCCTGGGACTTCGCGTCTCGCAGGACGTCACCCGCCATTCCATGAGGTCATCCACCTTCGAGCAGGTGCTGGCGCCCCATCTTTCGGGTTCTCCCAGTTGAGGACGTCCGCAAGCCGCTACTCTGAGAGACAAGGCGCTGAAAGGTACGGCAAGAGATTGAGCCTCAAGACTTGCTCGCTCGAAGAGTCCATTGCACGGGTGCTTCCTCACGTCTACGGATGCCAAGTTGCAAAACGTGCTCTGGAAGCTCGGACGGGTCCAAGACCTGGACAGACCCCAAACTGAAAGTCGCTTCAGTGCCCTGAAATCCCGTGCAGGGGCTGCCACTGTCAGGGGCTCGTCTTTGGCCGACCTGGACAGCAGGCACCCCCTTCACCTGAAAAAGACAACCTGGTACGGGACAGCTCGCATCATCTGGACTCCTGGACTTAGACAAGCGTCTGCCCGGCTTCCGGAGATTCGCTCTCACTCTCCTCCTGGCAGCCAGAACCCAAACTGAGAGTCGAGTCCTTGGCCAGCCTGCGGATCCTTGGCCTCCCAAGCCGTCAGAAGGGTTGGGTGATTCTCTGACCTCAGGCGCGATCCGCAGCAGCTATCTCACGTCAAACGTCTCATGCCCTAGCCCACGGATCATCAGCAAGAAGAATCGAACCGCAGCGTAAGCCTTGAGAACGGTGCTCGCATCGGTGCTCGCCCCGAACATCTGAAACTTCGCCGCACATTCCGGCAAGCCGCAGATAGCGAAAGGAGGCGACAAACGGCGCAGAACAAATATCTTTGCAGCTCAGCCGCTCTTCCAAGGAACCCTCCGATGAGCCCGACTGGGTGGAATCGGAGCCGAAGCTCTTGCGCTTTTGCCTTCTGCTGCAATGGCTTTGACAAAGCCAAACTCCATGCTAGCAGACAAATGAAGCAAACTGCCTGGACGAGGCATCGCCTGCCACGTCCAACTGCTCAGAGAGCTCCAGCGCCAGCTGCTCCACGAAAAGAAGCTGAGCCTGGTGTGGGAACTGCCTCGGACGCAAGCTGAACGATCCCGGCATCACGGTTTTGCAAGGCATCGCTGACGACGTGCGCCGCCAGGGCACGCCCAGGTCTCCAGCTGCTGTAGGACGCTGGAGCGATGGCATGTCCCCGGCGACACTTTGCACATCTTTTTGGAAGGGGATGCTTTGCTAGGACTGCAGGCGACTGCATGGAGATGGGGCATCATTGGACAATCGTGCATAAAATGTGCACATGTGCGGATCCTTGTTGACCAGCGAGAGCTATGCGTGCTGCATAAGCCAAAGCTCAGTTCGGGAACTGGAGTGCTCAACAGTAAGAAGGATGTTCTATCCAGAACGGCATGCCACCGAGTGCAAAGCCGTCCGTCGTCGGATCGAGGTGTTACACCATCGCGAAGAGGCGTGCTTGCCGTACCCATGTCTTCAAGGTAAAACCTGAGATGCACCAAAGCACTTTCCCGGCTTGCCGACAATAGGACAGACTGATGCTGATTCTGACAAGAACTGCTTGAGTCTTCGAGCTCGCAGCCCAGTGATCCGACCGCCGTCGTCGTCGTCGTCGTGGGAAGTAGTAGTCGTGGTGGTGGTGGTGGTGGTGGTGGTGGTGGTGGTGGTGGTGGTGGTGGAACTAGTCGTAGTAGTAGTAGTAGTAGTAGTAGTAGCAGTAGCAGTAGCAGTAGCAGCAGCAGTAGGCAGTAGGCAGTAGGCAGTAGGCAGTAGGCAGTAGGCAGTAGGAGTAGCAGTAGCAGTAGCAGTAGCAGTAGCAGTAGCAGTAGCAGTAGCAGTAGCAGTAGTAGCAATAGTAGCAATAGTAGCAGTAGTAGTAGTAGTAGTAGTAGTAGTAGTAGTAGTAGTAGTAGGAGTAGTAGTAGTAGTAGTAGTAGTGGTAGTCGTCGTAGTAGTAGTAGTAGTAGTAGTAGTAGTAGTAGTAGTTGTAGTAGTAGTACTAGTACTAGTACTAGTACTAGTACTAGTACTAGTACTAGTACTACTACTAGTACTCGTATTTGTACTATAGTACTAGTACTAGTACTAGTAGTACCAGCAGTAGCAGAAGTAGTAGGAGGAGGAGGAGGAGCAGCAGCAGTAGTCGTCGTCATTGCAGCTTGTAGTATCAGTGTGTACCGTCTCTATACTGAACAAAGCAGACACTAGAATAGTGGTACAAACGGCACCTTGCTCTACGTAGGTTTTGGGGTCCACTATGTAACTATTGGCCTAACACCCAAAATGCCCGGATCAACAACCAAGACTCGAAAACGTCTCGCCACGTGCTCACCAGCCACTCGCCGGCCTGAGTAAGGAGTGGCTTCCGGTTCTCGGGTGTAAGGGTTTGGAACGTCAGGATTTGGCATCGGCCGGTCTATAAATGATACTCTCCATATTCTTCGACCACTGTGCTCCGATCCCTCTCGTCGAGTGAACCTTTACCATCACATCGAACGAGGGAGTCGACTGTACAAGAATGCCCTGTCTTCGCAGGGGGTCTGGGCTCGCTGTACAGAAGGCCCGACTATTCACGAAATTCAAACGGCTGCCAGCAACTGCCCGAACTACACCAGCACGGAGCCCAACCTCCTCTGACTCATCTGCATAACGCCACGGCACATTCCCACTGGACCCTTGCCCTCGATCTGCCAGTGCGTCCAGCTGGCGATGGAATGGAAGTTGAAGTAGTACTTCGAAGGATTGGAAGCAATGTCTTTCAGCCGGGAGCCCAACGTGAAACCAGCATTCTGCGCGCCGTCAACGAAGTTGCCCGTCATGGACATCAAAGCAGCACGGTTCTGGTAGTGCGCGCAAGGAGACCTGGTACCATGGCTCCTACTACGCAGATTCTAATTCGCAAACCCCAAAAATCAAAATGACAAAAGGGTACTACTGGGAGACCCTAGCGTCTTGTACGGGCTGCCATCAGCAATCATTCCAGGACCGTTGTCCCCGCAGAAGTTGATCACTGGAGGGCCCGCACCATTCTCACCATCTCCGTCGGAGGCCAGGTGAATGTGTGATGCAACGAGCTGAGTGCGACCGCCGAGGACATTGGCTGTACACTGCATGCCACTACGACTGCAGAGCTTGCAATCCACGTAGGCCGTAGCTTCACTATCGGGATTGCTGGGGAAAGACTGGACCAGGGTGTTGAAGCTGAGCTCGCTGAACATGTGATAGCACTCGTCGTCGGCCGAGGCCATATCTACAGGTTCGGGCTTCTCTGGCATGGACCCCTTCGGCACGCACTGCGAGTACCAGGAGTTCATCTGAGAACAGCTGAAGCCGGAGTCGCAGCACGTCGGGCCGGACCAGCCGGTGCCGCCGCATTGGACCCACGCTGTCGCGCAAGTCTCGGGTGCCTCAGAAGCTTCAGCCGGCAAGGCGACCGCCAGCATCGACAGAAGCAACAGCCGGGCCATGTTCTGAGTGTCTGAGAACCGAGATCCTAAATGCAAGACGGCAGTGCGGCCTTTGACTTGGAGCCATGCAACATGCGAACACCAACATCCTGCCAAGATGATTAGTCACTACCTCACCCACCGTAGAGAAACAGCCAGGCCATGCTTTCATTTTTGTCCGGATGGCTTTACCGCTAGTATGAGAGACGACCATGATCATGACCAGCAGACAACCCTCCCGATGAGCATGACGATCGGAGCAACTCATCCTCATCGTCTTCATCAAAATGCAGAAGAGTCGGACAAGGAATTGCCGTAAGCATGTGCACGGTGCTTCAGGCATTTCCCACATAATGGCATCCATGACGCTAAGCAAGAACAGGACCTTCCCCCATCTTCAAACAAGACGACCCTCATGTTCAAACCGAATGCCTTGAACCTTTCATGTATAGGCCCCAGACCCTAAGCCCACGACTCTACTGCAACCGTAAACTCGACGCCGCCATGCCTGCAAAGGCGACAGCATCCGTCGCTCCATGGACAGCGTGGCCGGCTCGTCTGGCTGAAGGGTGGAAGGAGCACACCTGCAGATCAGGGCTTTAAGGGTGATGTCCGTCTTCAGCATTAAACTAGGGTTTAGTGGGTTTCGGGCGCTTGGCTTTCCAAGGAGCTGGCCAAGGTTGTCACGAAACTTGATCGAAGTGATCACAATCAGAACAGGATGTATACATGTCATTACCCCAAACCCTTGACCCCCTAACTTCAACCCCTTGATAAAGCCTTCGCCCCTACAGCGCTTCAACTTGAGCCAGGCCTCCATGAAGTGCCGGACAGAGTAGCCATCTGCCGTAGCCACAGCCGTCTCCTGAGTTGCACTTCGGGTTTTTTGTCGAGGTCTTTCATGGTCTTTCCAGCCGCAAGTTTACGGGGTTACGGTTTCTGGCATACAGCTGAGGGCAGGGGTGCTTTAGGGTCGAAGATAATCGCTGCCGGGGTTCGCCTCCCTTCCTCTGTCGCTGTATCTGGGCTGCTCTACGTAGGTTTTGAGGGTCCGCTGTGTAACTATGAGCCTAACACCCAAAATACCCGGATCAACAACCAAGACTCGAAAATGTCTCGCCGCGTGCTCACCAGCCACTCGCCGGCCTGAGTAAGGAGTGGCTTCAGGTTCTCGGGTGTAAGGGTTTGGAACGTCAGAATTTGGCATCGGCCGGCCCATAAATGATACTCCATGTTCTTCGACCACTGTGCTCCGATCCCTCTCGTCGAGTGAACCTTTACCATCACATCGAACGAGGGAGTCGACTGTACAAGAATGCCCTGTCTTCGCAGGGGGTCTGGGCTCGCTGTACAGAACGCCCCACTATTCACGAAATTCAACCGGCTGCCAGCAACTGCCCGAACTACACCAGCACGGAGCCCAACCTCCTCTGACTCATCTGCATAACGCCACGGCACATTCCCACTGGACCCTTGCCCTCGATCTGCCAGTGTGTCCAGCTGGCGATGGAATGGAAGTTGAAGTAGTACTTCGAAGGATTGGAAGCAATGTCTTTCAGCCGTGAGCCCAACGTGAAACCAGCATTCTGCGCGCCGTCGACGAAGTTGCCCGTCATGGACATCAAAGCAGCACGGTTCTGGTAGTGCGCGCAAGGAGACCTGGTATCATGGCTCCTACTAGCAGATTCTAATTCGCAAACACCAAAAATCAAAATGACAAAAGGGTACTACTGGGAGACCTAGCGTCTTGTATGGGCTGCCATCAGCAATCATTCCAGGGCCGTTGTCTCCGCAGAAGTTGACCACTGGAGGGCCCGCACCATTCTCACCATCTCCGTCGGAGGCCAGGTGAATGTGTGATGCAACGAGCTGAGTGCGACCGCCGAGGACATTGGCTGTACACTGCATGCCACTACGACTGCAGAGCTTGCAATCCACGTAGGCCGTAGCTTCACTATCGGGATTGCTGGGGAAAGACTGGACCAGGGTGTTGAAGCTGAGCTCGCTGAACATGTGATAGCACTCGTCGTCGGCCGAGGCCATATCTACAGGTTCGGGCTTCTCTGGCATGGACCCCTTCGGCACGCACTGCGAGTACCAGGAGTTCATCTGAGAACAGCTGAAGCCGGAGTCGCAGCACGTCGGGTGCCGCCGCATTGGACCCACGCTGTCGCGCAAGTCTCGGGTGCCTCAGACGCTTCAGCCGGCAAGGCGACCGCCAGCATCGACAGAAGCAACAGCCGGGCCATGTTCTGAGTGTCTGAGAACCGAGATCCTAAATGCAAGACGGCAGTGCGGCCTTTGACTTGGAGCCATGCAACATGCGAACACCAACATCCTGCCAAGATGATTAGTCACTACCTCGCCCACCGTAGAGAAACAGCCGTGCTTTGATTTTTGTCCGGATGGCTTCGCGGCCACCACCGGACGACCTTGCTCATGACCATTAGAATTAGAATCCTCCCAATGAGCATGACGATCGGAGCAACTCATCCTCATCGTCTTCTTCAAAATGCAGAAGAGTCGTACAAGGAATTGCCGTAAGCATGTGCACGGTGCTTCAGGCATTTCCCACATAATGGCATCCATGACGCTAGGCAAGTACAGGACCTTCCCCCATCTTCAAACAAGACGACCCTCATGGTCAAACAGAATGCCCAAAACCCTACATGTTTAGGCCCCAGACCCTAATCCCACAACTCCACCACAACCGTAAACTCGACGCCGCCATGCCTGCAAAGGCGACAGCATCCGTCGCTCCATGGACAGCGTGGCCGGCTCGTCTGGCTGAAGGGTGGAAGGAGCACACCTGCAGATCAGGGCTTTAAGGGTGATGTCCGTCTTCAGCATTGAACTAGGGTTTAGTGGGTTTCGGGCGCTTGGCTTTCGAAGGAGCTGGCCAAGGTTGTCACGAAACTTGATCGAAGTGATCACAATCAGAACAGGATGTATACATGTCATTACCCCAAACCCTTGACCCCCTAACTTCAACCCCTTGATAAAGCCTTCGCCCCTACAGCGCTTCAACTTGAGCCAGGCCTCCATGAAGTGCCGGACAGAGTAGCCATCTGCCGTAGCCACAGCCGTCTCCTGAGTTGCACTTCGGGTTTTTTGTCGAGGTCTTTCATGGTCTTTCCAGCCGCAAGTTTACGGGGTTACATACAGCTGAGGGCAAGGGTCCAGATCATCTCAAGTTGAAAAACTTCAGAGCTGTGGGGCCCTTTAGGTTCGAAGATAGTCGCTCTGCTCGGGTTCGTTCGCCTCCCTTCGTAGGTTTTGAGGGTCCACTGTGTAACTATGAGCCTAACACCCAAAATACCCGGATCAACAACCAAGACTCGAAAATGTCTCGCCGCGTGCTCGCCAGCCAATCGCCGGCCTGAGTAAGGAGTGGCTTCAGGTTCTCGGGTGTAAGGTGTAAGGGTTTGGAACGTCAGGATTTGGCATCGGCCGGCCATAAATGATACTCCATGTTCTTCGACCACTGTGCTCCGATCCCTCTCGTCGAGTGAACCTTTACCATCACATCGAACGAGGGAGTCGACTGTACAAGAATGCCCTGTCTTCGCAGGGGGTCTGGGCTCGCTGTACAGAACGCCCCACTATTCACGAAATTCAAACGGCTGCCAGCAACTGCCCGAACTACACCAGCACGGAGCCCAACCTCCTCTGACTCATCTGCATAACGCCACGGCACATTCCCACTGGACCCTTGCCCTCGATCTGCCAGTGTGTCCAGCTGGCGATGGAATGGAAGTTGAAGTAGTACTTCGAAGGATTGGATGCAATGTCTTTCAGCCGGGAGCCCAACGTGAAACCAGCATTCTGCGCGCCGTCAACGAAGTTGCCCGTCATGGACATCAAAGCAGCACGGTTCTGGTAGTGCGCGCAAGGAGACCTGGTACCATGGCTCCTACTACGCAGATTCTAATTCGCAAACCCCAAAAATCAAAATGACAAAAGGGTACTACTGGGAGACCCTAGCGTCTTGTATGGGCTGCCATCAGCAATCATTCCAGGACCGTTGTCCCCGCAGAAGTTGATCACTGGAGGGCCTGCACCATTCTCACCATCTCCGTCGGAGGCCAGGTGAATGTGTGATGCAACGAGCTGAGTGCGACCACCGAGGACATTGGCCGTACACTGCATGCCACTACGACTGCAGAGCTTGCAATCCACGTAGGCCGTAGCTTCACTATCGGGATTGCTGGGGAAAGACTGGACCAGGGTGTTGAAGCTGAGCTCGCTGAACATGTGATAGCACTCGTCGTCGGCCGAGGCCATATCTACAGGTTCGGGCTTCTCTGGCATGGACCCCTTCGGCACGCACTGCGAGTACCAGGAGTTCATCTGAGAACAGCTGAAGCCGGAGTCGCAGCACGTCGGGCCGGACCAGCCGGTGCCGCCGCATTGGACCCACGCTGTCGCGCAAGTCTCGGGTGCCTCAGACGCTTCAGCCGGCAAGGCGACCGCCAGCATCGACAGAAGCAACAGCCGGGCCATGTTCTGAGCGTCTGAGAACCGAGATCCTAAATACAAGACGGCAGTGCGGCCTTTGACTTGGAGCCATGCAACATGCGAACACCAACATCCTGCCAAGATGATTTGTCACTACCTCGCCCACTGCAAAGAAACAGCCTCCATCACTTCGAAGATGAGGCCGAGAACTTCTCACCATCCAGGGATCACCTGGCGCAGGGGGGATTCTCAACCCATATTCCTTCAAGGTATGCCTGATTGTAGCAAGCATCTATTGCAAACAAAAAATGCCTTGAGGTCAAGCCTTATTTGCAACGGTGCCCGCCTCAAGTCAGACTGATGTACCTACTCGGGCTCAATCGATCATCGGCTGACACCACAGTCGATGCAACACCATCAGCTTCTTGCGGGAAGGTCCTTCCTCGCCAAAGGCCGGTGGTGCTGCTGCTCTCCTGGGCTGAGGATGTGACAGATTCCCCTTCAAGCCGCTCAAAAACCACGAAAAAAGCTCCACAACACGACCAGAGCAGCCCGGCGTCATCCAGTGGAAAGTTGGGCACACTGCCGAAGGCCACGGGCGAGAAGGTTTCGTTCAAGTTGGGCACTCGGTTTGCGCCCCTCCGGAGAAGGGTCACTCTCCAAGAATGCTTCGGCAGTTCCTCCTCGTGGACCATCCTGAGATCATCTCGGCTGACGATTGCGCGCTTCGAGGGTTGGGGTCTTGGGACGTCAGGGTCGCTTCCAGGTGCTGCCTGGATCGAAGTCCCCCATCTTGCAGCCTTCTGGGCGGATTTTTGTGCGATGCACAGACGGGATCTTGCAAACGAACTCAGATGGATTTCGACAGCTACCCGTGTCTCGTCCGTTTCTATCGGCTCAAATTCCTCTGGGGTTGTGCGACTTTGCATCTACATCCCCCTGCTTTTCGCTTGCGACCCAGCATCGGGACGACCGGCGGGTTGAAGCCCCTGAGCGCCAGCTGATACTGCCCAGCCTCAAGCACCGCTCTCTCGCCGCAGCTCTGGCAGTGGCTGGCGAGAGCCTCCACGTCCATCACCACTTTGCCTCCCAAATTGCTGGATGTCTTTTCAAAGAGAGTCTGCCTTAGCGCGACACTCACCGCCACTGGAAAGCAACCAGCAAACAAACTCCAAAGAAAGTGCTCACGAAGGACCATAGGCCACTATAGTCACTCTATAATCTAGAATCGGGGCCCCAGGCCCCAGACGCCCCAGACCCTCTCTTTTCTTGGTGCTCCGGCTCCACTTGGGTGATCCTCAACTGGGACTCCTGAACTCGGACCCAGCAAGCTGCCGAAGGTCTTCAAGCCCCTCAGGAACTCAAACCTCCAAAGCCTCACGGGCAAAAAGCTGGAAAGACGTGAGCATCTTGGAATCAAAGCCCTGCCCCCTGCCTTGCACTACGAAGCACGCGACCTGGGTTCGGGGCAGCGACACGTAGCGGTCCGCCGCACAGGCTGCGAAGACCGAAGCACTGAGATCACCCTCCAGGGCTCTGGGTTTAGATTCTGAGGGCTTGGTCCCCTCCCCCATGATGCTTCCTCTTCGAGAGATTTCGATTTCACGCGAGGGCCGCAGGGCGTTCTCCGGGGGAGTTCCATGTTACGGGGTGTCCTAGTCATGGCCACAAAAACCTCAGAGCTGAACCCGAATATAGGCCACATTACACTATTGTACTCATCAAAAGGAACCCCCAAAGTAGTACAGGCCCCGAAGCCTAAGCCCCAAGGCCCAAGCGGAGACCCTGTGTCCTCCAAGGATGAGCAGAGGCTTCGTCGGCCGCTGTCGGTGGAGATGTCCCGATAAGGGGGGTCCTCGATCCTTGTTCCCAGGTTCGCTTCTAATCGAGGGGCCGTCAAACAAATTGGTCCGATTGGCTCTGGTGGGTTTGCACTTGGGTGGAGCGCCCCTCATATGAACTCCCCTTCCGTCTTCCTCGAAACCCTCCAAGGCCACAAAGCCCGTAAATCCGACTCTCAACGGCCAGGGATCATCAGCTCGAAGAACGGGCAGGGCACCCGGGCCGGGTCTTGGACGTCGCGCTGACGGCCGGGCTCCCAAGTCCTCTCCGAGCGGAAAGGATTGCCTGGGCTCACACTCTCTGCTTACAGATGGTTGCAACAGGCTTTATGATGCTATGCAAGGGTATCAGACTTCGATCATGATTTTGAAAGGGCTTCCATAAGGAGTTTTGCATGGGCTTCCAAGGCTTTCTTCGGAGTGTTTGCGTTTGGGGCTGGGAAGGCTTCGTGGTAGAGTTCGGGAAGATTGGCTCTGACTTTTTACAGTATTCAACTCCCCAAAACCCAAAAAAAGAAGGAGCAGCCCCAAACCCAAAAACGCCCAAGCCCCCGCACATCGACCCTACAAAGCCTAACAACATAACCAACAGTCACCTGTGCCGCAGGGGGAGCGGGTGCCCCCACAGAATCCCGATTGCTCCGTGCCTCCCAGAAAAAACCTTGAGACTCTGAGGCAACAGTAATAACAGTAATGTGGAGCCTAACGGGCTAAACTAGGCTGCGGGCTCATTCTCACGCTCCTATATTCAGCAGCACCAAACCTCTCCAGGTCACTGAGGGAAGAATCCAGAAGGGCTGGATGCAAGGGCGACGGGGCCGTGTCGAAACGGAAGCCCTGAGAGCGAGCCCCACACAGGTGTTTTAGACTCTCGGGCTTTGAGGATTTAAGCTCTGAACGCCTCAACTACGGCCTTGCTTGCTCTGTCGAAGGCTGCGTGTCCGCACGGTACGGCGCTAGGAACGTAGAATGTACTGATCGCGCCTGTGGTGGCTGGATCTCGAAGGACATGGGCAGGGTGATTTTCACCGGCACGGCGACCTGGCTGCTCTTCTCACCTACTACATATCCGTCCGTCTGTCTGCAATCTCGCAATCCGTCTTGTAGCGAGATCACCGAAATTAAGATTGACGACTGGGTTCACGATGACACCCTGCTGAAAAGCATAGTCAAACAGAGGCCACTCTTCGAAAAGCAAACCCTCGTGCGGTTCTGTAATGCCGCACCAGGAGATAGACCGTCGTCAGGACGTTGGTCTGAGCGGTCGTCGTGGTCACGGCGAGATCCTTGTTTCATCAGTCAGGGCAAGGGTGTAGGCCCGCCCCAAACCCAGAAAACCTGCGTCCTCCAAGTTTGGAAGCTTGCAAACTCTAGCCATTGACCTTGAAGCGCACCCGTCTCTGCTCCCAGCCGAATCACCGGCAAAGGCATGGCCGGAAGGTTCCTACCCTCAAACGCTGCAGCAGCCGCAATAGTCGTCCTGCACGGCTTTTGGGCTTCAGTCACTTGACGGCTTAGACCAAGGCAGCTCAAAGGCAAGCATCAAAGGCAAGCATCAGAGGAGCATCGAAAAACTTCACAGCCAGGCAACAACCGTAAGAGGCCGCAGGGCCTGCATCATGAGCGTCAGCTGGAGCAGCTCCACAAATACCGCAAATCAATCAAACAAGACACCGGAATCATCCACCAAGGCAACCGCCAAATGCCAGCCCAGGGCCGGATTCCTGAGCATCAGATGGGGGTAGGCTCCACCAAGGCAGCCACTGCAGAGCCGGCAACATGAGCACCAGCTGGGGTAGGCTCCACCAAGGCAGCTAGCCATTGAATGCCACCGCAAGACCGGCATCATGAGCATCAGCTGGGGTAGGCTCCACCATGGCAGCCATTGAATGCCACCGCAAGACCCGCATCATGAGCATCAGCTGGGGTAGGATCACCTAGACAGCCATTGAATGCCACCGCAAGACCGCATCATGAGCATCAGCTGGGGTAGGCTGCAAGACCCGCATCATGAGCATCAGCTGGGGTAGGCTCCACCATTGCAGCCATTGAATGCCACCGCAAGAGCGGCATCATGAGCATCAGCTGGGGTAGGCTCCACCTAGACAGCCATTGAATGCCACCGCAAGACCGCATCATGAGCATCAGCTTGGGTAGGCTCCACCAAGACAGCCATTGAAGGCTACCGCAAGACCGGCATCATGAGCATCAGCTGGGGTAGGCTCCACCTAGACAGCCATTGAATGCCACCGCAAGACCCGCATCATGAGCATCAGCTGGGGTAGGCTCCACCACCTAGACAGCCATTGAATGCCACCGCAAGATCGGCATCATGAGCATCAGCTGGGGTAGGCTCCACCTAGACAGCCATTGAATGGCACCGCAAGACCCGCATCATGAGCATCAGCAGGCTCCACCAAGGCAGCCATTGAAGGCCACCGCAATATCGGCATCATGAGCATCAGCTGGGGTAGGCTCCACCAAGGCATCCATTGAATGCCACCGCAAGACCCGCATCATGAGCATCAGCTGGGGTAGGCTCCACCAAGGCAGCCATTGAATGCCACCGCAAGACCCGCATCATGAGCATCAGCTGGGGTAGGCTCCACCAAGGCAGCCATTGAATGCCACCGCAAGACCCGCATCATGAGCATCAGCTGGGGTAGGCTCCACCTAGACAGCCATTGAATGCCACCGCAAGACCCGCATCATGAGCATCAGCTGGGGTAGGCTCCACCATGGCAGCCATTGAATGCCACCACAAGACCGGCATCACGAGCATCAGCTGGGGTAGGCTCCACCTAGACAGCCATTGAATGCCACCGCAAGACCGCATCATGAGCATCAGCTGGGGTAGGCTCCACCAAGGCAGCCATTGAAGGCCACCGCAAGACCCGCATCATGGCTGGGGTAGGCTCCACCAAGGCAGCCATTGAATACCACCGCAAGACCCGCATCATGAGCATCAGCTGGGGTAGGCTCCACCATGGCAGCCATTTAATGCCACCGCCAGACGGGCATCATGAGCATCAGCGCAGCAATTGAATGCCACTGCAGGACCGGCATCATGAGCATTTGCCACCGCAAGACCAGCATCATGAGCATCAGCTGGGGTAGGCTCCACCAAGGCAGCCATGGAATCCCACCGCAAGTCCCGCATCATGAGCATCAGCTGGGGTAGGCTCCACCTAGACAGCCATTGAA